GAGACAAACAAGCCGGGGTCTTGTGCGTGCACACACACACACTGACAGAGACAAACAAGCCGGGGTCTTGTGCGTGCACGCACACACTGACGGATACAAGCTGTGACTCTGGGAAACACAAACACACAAAGACTGAGACATGGGGACATCCTGTCTGGAGGGTGGCCCAGTTAAACAGGCACATTTCAGGACGAAAGTGTCTTTTCCCTAAACTCTCGCAGGGCCCCCTGAAAGACGCGTCAGTCAGTGGGCTGTGCTGAAACTGTCCCTTTCAGGCATACAGGACCGCATTCCCCAGACCCACCTCACAGGAACGAGGAGTATATTGTAAGGGTCACAGCAGTGCTAGAGCTAAGGGGATACTGTTACAAAGCATTACAGAGCCTGCCATAAGAGAATGAGCAAACTGGGGGGGGGGGGGGGTTATGCATGTGATCAAATACTAAGCACAAAACGGAGCATGCACAAACACCAGGAGAACAATGGATCTTCAAGGGTGCATCCTGGATAAGGCCTGGGATTGTTCAACATGAACGACTGCTCCACCCTGTCCCAGACTCCAGACCCTGATTTACACAGTACCCTTCTGTCTTGCTGAGCCCCTACTGACTCCCTCTACTGATAAAATGAGCCCTCCCATTCATAGCTCCTACATTTCCACTGATCTCATTCTCCCTTCCTGCTTAACCCCATCTCTCAGGCCCTTTCTCCCTGCCCACATCACTGTCACTCTCTCCCAACGTCCTCCTCTTTCCCCATTTCAATTTCCCTCCCCTCCCTTCTACCCCACATTCCCCCTCTCCACCCCTCTCTGGTTCTCCCGCGTGATCCCATCACATGATCCCCGTGAATAGACATCTTTATTCCTGCTTCCTGACAATAAGAGGCCTATTCCAGACAGCAGGGAGGGGACTCTGTGCGTGTGTGGGACCCAGAGCTACACACGGGGATGACTGGATCATTTCAATTGTGTTTACTGGAAGTCACAATGACCAGCTGGAAGGGGGAAAGTTTAAGTCATTCAAATTCCTGGTTTGACCTCATTTTATTGCCTCTTCAAACTGCCTGTGCAAACCAGCTGCACAGAGAATCAGGAGAACTGAAATTATGGGAAATACACGATCTCATCTGCTGTAAAAATCCACTATTCAGGGTGGATTGGGATGTTGACTTTAAGGAAAAGACAAACCCTAACTGATTTCATGCAGTTCACACTGGTGTAACTGGTGTTGCTGTTCGTACGGGTGCCCTGTGTTTATTGAAGGGGTGGCAGGTTTCTGTGTGCCAGTATCTTCTCAAGACCCTTCTTTGTGAAAAGGCTTTTGCAGTTTGTCAACAATTTCTTTCATTTATAAAGGTCTCTTTAAGTTCTTACTTTGCCTCTTAAGTTCTCCTGCTGACAGGAGAACCTTTGTAGTCTTAAAACACAGACAATAAGAAGAGGTCCTGATGGGTAGAAGTGAATCTAAAACCAAGAACAGGAGGCACCTCTTTACACAGAGGGTGGTGGGAGTGTGGAACAAGTTGCAGAGCCATGGTGTTGAAGCCGATACCCTGCCTTTGTTCCAGAAAAGGTTGGATGAGATCCTGGATCAATTAACTACTAATTACCAATCAGACTGCAGGGGCCAAACGGGTAACCTTTCTAGCATACACTGTTATACCTATGACCTATTAAACTGCTTGCAAGGGAAAGGTACAGACACCCATCTGGAAAGCTTGCTTTTTGTCTCCATGAATTCTGCTGCCAGATTCTTGAAAGTTGGTTACTTTCAGAAAGTGTGCACTAAATCAGTTCCTAGCAGGGACGTGATATTTGTTTAAATGTCAGCTATCCAAAAGAGAGTGTGTGTGTGACTTACTGTCATTACCAATAATGCAAAAGGACAGAACGCCTGCTCTGGAGGCTGCAGCAGAGTCTTTCTGGCCTCTCTGACCATGCCCACGATCTGATGGTTTGGAACCTGTCAGAAAAGCGGCCAGGGCATGGCCACACCAGGCCCCTGTCACCTCGTGTGGTCGGGCAGCACGTAGATAGTCAAAGAACTTGGACTACAGCAGATGAGTCATTGCAACCTGTAGGACAAACCATACTGATGATTTTGAGGATGTCTCCAAGCTGAAGCATGCTTTTAACACCCTGCCCAGGTTAGACATCACAAACACTGACCACTCTAATAATAATAATTCCTTACACTTATATAGCTCTTTTCTGGACACTCCACTCAAAGCGCTTTACAGGTAATGGGGATCCTCTCCAGCACCACCAGTGTGCAGCCTCACCTGGATGATGCGCCAGTCTGCTCCCCACACACCAGCTCTCAGTGGGGAGGAGAGCAGAGTGATGAAGCCAGTTCAGAGATGGGGATTATCAGGAGGCCATGATGGGTAAAGGCCAGGGGGGTATTTGACCAGGACACTGAGGTAGCACCCCTTCTCTTTTCGAGAAACACCCTGGGATTTCGAGCAACACCCAGTTTTCTTTTGCACAAAATTCCTCCTTTAAGGGAGACGCGTTCGGCAAGCCCAAACGACTGCAATCAAGCGCCGGATTTGAACTCGAGAGCCAGTACAACTTGCGCCACGGCTTTCCTCTTTCAGCACAGGAAGGGGAACAAGAGCCCCACCCGAGAGGGAAAGCCTGAAACGGACCCGACCGCTGTGCATTGGGAGCCAAACGGCCGGCTTGGCGCACGGTTCTGTAAGGGGGTCCGAAAACGGGGTGGCGCATACCCCCATTTCTGCCCGGAAGAGGCACAGCTGGGAAGAGAAGACAGGTGATGGTCACTCCTGGGGAGCGGCAGTCCAGCACAACCTCTAGCCCCACCCATAAGCGAGGGCTGGCCAAGCCCTCCGTCCAATGCAGACACCACAGGGTGCAGAGTACACCTACAACACCCCAGACTCCTCCAACAGAGCTTTTCACATGTCCAGAGCCAGCTACCGACCTGTGGCTTTTTTGGGGGCAACTTAATTTTAACTGCGTTTTGCCAGTGTTCGATTGCAAAAGCAAAACCCTAAAAACAACAACTTCCAAAGGCTTCCTCGACATCCCCGTGCACGTATGCCAACAGACACCTCGCCACACATTCCTGTAGGTGTGTTTTTCACTATAGACAGGAAAATAGCACCGATTGCCATTCATGCCAATTATATTACAATGAAAACAAAAGAGGGGAGAGGGCAAAATAAAAAGCTTTTTAAAAAAGTGCTGCACTTTGCAGAACAAGTTGCAGGTTTCTGTGTGCCAGTATCTTCTCAAGACTGTTCTTTGTGAAATCTTTTATCTTCAAGCATACTTCCCCGGAACACAGTTATGAGAACTCCACTAAAACACATGTTTGGTACAAGCCAGAATCCTGCACTACAACTGGAGGCCAATAGCCAAGCACTGGAATGCGAGTAAGTAGGACAGGAATCTACTGGCTGCACCCCTGCTAAATCCCCACCTCTTTCCAGCAGAGCAGCCATTGGACTAGGGGCTGCTGAGCAGATGGGCTGAGTGTGGCTTGGACTTTGGGCATTTAAACCACCCCCTCCGGGAGGACGGAAGTGGGTCTTGGGACAATGGCACAGGGCAGCAGATTAAGAGATCAGTGGGAAAGGGGGCAGAATGCCAAAGGGAAGCCAGATCACGATCTGGATCGTGTCAGAAATCCCAGCTGATAGCTGCGCCTGGGGCCTGCAACTCCAAACGTCAGCGAGTGTAATTGAAAAATCCGAGGAAGTGCTTAAGTCGAAACGGGGGATCAGGAGTTGGAAACGTTTAGCCTGCATAGCAGCTCAGGCTGCTAATTTGAATTTTAGTGCCTGGGCCGAAATAATTGGTGCCTGCAGTTCCGAAATAAACCACAAAGACGGAAAACCTCTGGGGTAACAGTGGAGGCCGATTGCGGAATTCTCTGCAGTGACTTTAACGTGCACTGGGTGATCACTGCGTGACCATCACTGCCAAAATATTTACGAACGGGGCAGAGTTCTGGCGCAGTGGTCAGCACCGTTGCATGCAGTGTTGGCGCCCTGGGGTGCTGTCTGTGTGGAGTTTGCATGTTCATCCGGGTTCCCCCCCCCACAGTCCAATGACATCCTGGTGGGGTTAATTGACCTTTAGGAAAATTGGTGCTGGTGTGAGTGTGTCTGTGTGTGCCCTGGGATGGACTGGTGTCCCGTCCAGGGTGTCGCCTGCCTTCTGCCCGTTGCTTGCTGGGATAGACTCCAGCTCCCCCCCCGTAACCCTGTACAGGATACAGCATTAAGAAAAGGGGGAGATCACTGAAAAAATGCAAAACATACAAAGTCTCCTCATGAAGAAATATCACATCTCAAGAAGGTACTGTCACACAGGAAGAGTAGCATCTGCACCCCCTTCAATACAAACAGCAGCACCAGCGACGCCTGAACTTGAACTTTAGTGCCATACGTAACCGGCACATGTTCTGGCACAATGGAATTCTGACTTACAGAAAGTCTCTCGATTGTAAAAAAAAAAACACAAACTGCAGACAGAGCATTTAGACAATTCACAAGCAAACAGCAGATGATATCTGAACAGCAGAGCCCCAGTTACAGCAGCCCAAATAGCAGCTGTACCGCCTACAGTTAAGTAATTATGCTGTGATCAGGATCAGTTCAGCCACTCAGGAGACCCTAAGGCACTTTAATAAAGGACTATTTCTCCTAGTCACAGGGGAGCTTGTATTAATTGGCACAATTAATATTAAAAAACCAAGGCTTGCAGAAGCTATAAGTACCCCTGATCCGGAAGACTCAGACTCGCTACCTGCAGGGCCCGCGTCCTGTCCCGACTGCTGAATTAAACACCGGGCCTCACCAGTCTCGCAGCCAGCCAGCCGCATAGGAGATATTTATTAAGGTCTCCAACAGGTGATCACTCAAAACATTCGTTTCATTACAAGTACAGCTCCCCCGTAAAACACCTCCGCGCCAGACTGGAAGCATGTCCAAGACTGTGGTCATCCCCCTCCCCCAGCCCGGCGCCCCACGAGCTGTTCCAGTGGCCACATTCGAGGGGTCCCAGCTCCCACCCCCAGGGGCCCGTGGAGCCGACAGGTTCCACGCCTCTCTATTAAAGCAGCCGCACCTGGTGAGCCGACAGCCAGTACCGAGCCGAGCACAGGTACACCGGCCACCCAGGAGCACAGTTAGACAGCCCTGCTCCAGGTCATGGGGAAGAGTGGTCAGCCTGCAGTCACATCTGGGCACTGAATCACCTGTGTGATTGCATTCCACTTAACCGATCGCACCTTTGATGGCATATACTTTCAATTCATGATAATGTAATAATAATAATAATAATAATAATGTTTCTTTATTAGCCCTATACAATTTCTTGCATTAGGAATGCGTCTTTTCGCATACCCCAGCTTTTTCTCCAGGGAGACACAGACACAGAGACAGGGAGAGAAGCTTGGGGTCAGAGCGCAGGGTCAGCCATTGTACGGCGCCCCTGGAGCAGTTGAGGTTAAGGGCCTTGCTCAGGGGCCCAACGGAGTAGGATTCCTCTGCCGGCCGCGGGATTTGAACCGGCAACCTTCCGGTCACAGGCGCAGATCCTTAGCCACAGAGCCACCCCATGATTCGACAGGCACAGGCAATCTCCTGCTGAGGGTCCTGGCTTGGATGCCACTGAACGTGCTTTTGGTGCATGTGCAACGACAGCTCTAAGGCTCCCACTGCATAGCAGTCTGAGCCGTTCCACATTTTAGCAGCTGCTGGGCTGCGTCATACAAGTGAAGGGAGCCTACACCCTGTGCGGGAGGTGGTGTACCTATCACCTGAGCTTTGGTAAATTTGCATACTGGAACTCAAAAGTACAGAGAAACGCAGAGCTCTGGAACAGATCGCACTGCGGGGCAGCGGAGAGACAGTTCCGTTCTTGATGTTGTAACAAAAACTCCACTTCTTAAGCAACTGTTATATCACAATTCAGTGAAGGAATTGGCCAATGTCAGCAAGCCTAGTCTGTAACTGTTCTGTCCCAATAAAAGCTAAGGACTGAACAGATTTGGACATTTTAGATGTTATTCCAACAGCAGAATTATTCTACTGTACTCGACTGCATTTTTCATTTGAACTGCCAGCTGTATGATCAGTGCCAATTGTTTTGGAATTTGTGTATTAGCTATGTTACTTGACCTGTAGCTCAAGCTAATCGATCTGCTGTCGTTGTCATTTTAACGTTAACAGCTTTGACGAAGTCTCCGGGCCACTGGCGGCTTCATCGAGTTAGAACAACAACTCTCGGTCCCACAAACCTCAACTCCATCACACTGCACACCGGCTCCACAAATAAACCAGACGTGCTTCTAACACCTTCAAAAAATCCATTGTAACATTTGCAGTTGACGTTATCAGTATGATTTACTGTCTGTAAAATGACAAATGTGGTCGAGTACAATAACATCTAAAATGACCAAATCTGTTCAGTCCTTAGCTTTTATTGGGACAGAACAGTTACAGACCAGGCTTGCTGACATTGGCCAATTCGTTCACTGAATTGTGATATTACAGTTGCTTAAGAAGTGGCGTCTTTCTTACAACATCGGGAACAGAACTGTCTCTTTGCTGCCCCGCAGTATGATCTGTTCCAGAGCTCTGTGTTTCTCTGTACTTTGAGTTCCAGTATGCAAATTTACCGAAGCTTAGGTGATCGGTACACCACCTCCAGCACCTCACCCCCTCACCGGCCGAAACGTTGTGTTTTCTGTCTTCTCTTTTCAGCACAGGAATAAACCTATTACTTGTTCCTTTGCAGCCCACGCATACTGACGCAGCTCCCCACCTGTACGAATTACAATACAAGTCGGTTTATGGTGTTTTTATTAACGACGCGATATGTATTTTACCCAAAGCGTGGCGCTCTGCTCATGTGTTTTTTCACTGCAACCGTGGGGGTGTCGGCAAAAAAAACTTGAACTCTGCGCCTGTCACATGTCCACGAAACAAAAACCGTGTTGCAAAAATCAAACCGCATTAAGTTCTCGCAAAAATACTTAACATCACTAGTGCAAGTGTACCGTGTTGTTCTCAAACTTGCGAGTTAGAGAAACGCTACCTAGAGCGCGTCCTGCAGGCGCACAACTTTTGGAGTTCCGCTTACACTCCAGGATAACACAGGTTTCAGCAAACTGCGACAAAACATTCATAGCAAACATGACCAACGCCTAGTTGCACGGCGCCAAACATGAAAATAACGAAAAGCAAAGCCAGGATCGGGGAAAACGGGTTGTTTTTTTTAATTCTTAGGGGGAACAAAGCGAGTGGGAGTGGTCGAGAGTTTCAGTGCTCCTGCAGGGCTGGAGTGTTGTGAAAAGCTCTTGCGATAAAACCGAGTCAAAAGCGGTCGAGTTTAGCGACGGCGGTGGAGAGGCAGCAGCAGCAGCGAGAGAGGAGGAAAAAACCGAGCAAACCTGACGGGAAAAAGCAAAACTTGAGACTCGAAACAGGACGCCCGATCACGCCACTATCCCCGGCAGCGCCCGCTGCTTCCCCAGCGGGAGACAGGAGAGGAGGAATCGAGCCCAACCTTGCGGACGAGGGGTGTCAAACGCACATCGCGGGTCCGGGTCTCGGGTGGGCTGTCGCTCGCTGTGTCAGGACACGCCGTGTGGCTCCGCTCCAGTTTCGAGCGTGTCTTCGCATTCCTCGCTCTGCGTTAAACCTCCCCTCCCCAAAAAAAAAATGTCAACGAGATCCCACCTCCGCCATACGGAACGGGATATCTCATTGGCTGCGGATAAGAAAGAGGCCCTTGTTTGTTTGGGCATCAGGAGACGGGTCTTGTTCCTCCCTTCCATTCGCTCCAGAAAGAAGAATAAAAAAGGGGGGGAGGACACAAAGATGAGGTAAATGGGGGGGTTCTGGAGGAGGCGAGGATGGGCACCAAGCCCAGGGACTTCTTTTTCATTCGAGCCCCGCGAAGAGACCCGCCCCCCCCTCCTCCAGATTCGCCCCAATTCGGCCTCCAAAGCTGTTCGCTGCGCGCCGGCTGGCACACGGGCACCGGCCGCCTCGGAGAGGCAGAGGGCAGCGCTCCCCGCTCAGCGCGTTCGGGATGGGGCTTCTCGAGGGGTTATTTTCTACCTGGTGGGTCGGGAATTGCAATGTGGAGGCCGATTAAGAATCATTCCCGCTTCCGCACACTTTGGTAAACCCCTCGTTAATCGGCCGTGTGCCACTACAGACAGGAGCTCGCAGCCGGCACCTGTTCAGCTACAGTATCTGCTTATTAGTCAGCGTTGCATGCTCAGCCCGGCTACGCTTATTAAACACAAATCCGCGCAAACGACATTTAACGTTATAATGAATTATCGACTTTATCAGAGGGGAGCTATACATCACAAAACGGGCGAAGAGTCGAACGTGTAATAAACCTGAGCTCTGAGCTGCGTGCTGCGTGCTGTGAGCTCTGAGCTGTGGGCTGTGAGCTGCGTGATATAGGCTGTGTGCTTTGAGCTCTGAGCTCCGAGCTGCAGGCTGTGTGCTCTGAGCTCTGAGCTCCGAGCTGCAGGCTGTGTGCTGTGAGCTCTGAGCTGCGTGCTGCGTGCTGCGGGCTGTGGGCTGCGGGCTGTGAGCTCTTATCTCCGAGCTGCAGGCTGTGTGCTGTGAGCTGCGTGATACAGGCTGTGTGCTGTGAGCTGTTAGCTGTGAGCTCTGAGCTCTGAGCTGCAGGCTGTGTGCTGTGAGCCACGTACTGTGAGCTGTGTGCTCTGTGCTGTGAGCTCTGAGCTGTGTGCTGCAGGCTGCAGGCTGCGTGCTGTGAGCTGCGTGATGTGTGCTC